GAGGGCTTCCAGGGAAGCCGAGTCACGGTGACCCGTCTGTGGCCTCGCTCGCGTGTGCAGGACACACACACAGACTCGCAACGTGGGTGTGGGAAGCAGGGACCTGCAGAAGCCGACGGGCAGGAGGCTTGGTGACTGCACCCTCCGAGGCGTGAGGTGAGGGATGGGTGGGTGGCTCGCTGACCTCCAGAAGGTCCCAGGCAGGGCCCTGGCGCGGGGTGTCCTTGCCTGTGAATGTGTGTGCCTGCCCCATCCCACCCACCCGTCGAGCGGGTCCTGCGTGGCGCTGGGCAGGCGGGGTGGCGATGGCGGCCAGGCAGGCAGAGGAAGGCGGCCCTGGATGAATCTGTCACTAAAGCCTGGCCGTGGCAGGCACAGTCATGATTTAGATGAATAATTGAAACACTCCGATACATTTATTATCCCTTTAGTGCAAAAGTGGCAGAGAAAGACGAGGGGTAATTGAAAAAGAGCGTACAAATCTCGGTGAGAAAGCCGGCTCCTTATCGCCAAGTAAACATTTCAGTCCTAATAAACAGGAGAGAGACGGCAGGGCCCTGTCGATTCCCTCCCTGATTTAAGGCCCGCCTCCCTTCTTACCATACAATAGGAGAGTGGTTTTTTTTTTTTTCTTTACATTTTTATTGAGCCAGTAAAAGGCTCTCAGAGGAGGGGGGGCTGGAGTGGAGAGCAGGGGTGGGCCTGGCCATCCCTGGTCTTTGGGTTATAGGGAGGCTGGGCGGCTGCCGGTCACACCTCCGCCTCCCGGTCACACCTCCGCCTCCCACCGCAGCAGACACCGGGCCCTCTATCTGGTGGATCTGTTGCGCCTTCTGCACCTGGCAAACTCTTATTCAGCCGTCATGGCCCAAGTCAAATGCCCCCTCCTACCAAGCAGGTCTCCTTGAGGACAAAGCTGAATCTTGGGCCCTAGCACCTGACACAGGCCCCCACTCAGGGAGAGTCTGCAGTTGGGAGGTTTCCCTATGACTCACTGTGTGGTCAACACCACTAGCTTGGCCTCAGGGCTTGGCATGCGCCCAGCTCTGGAGTAAGGTAGGCCCAGGGGTCTTGGAGCATTCCAGTTAAGTCCCTTCACTCCGCTGGGGGCTCACAGTTGAGGGTGGAGGTGCCAGGGGGACTGCAGCCTCCTGCTTCTACCCTGACCCACATGCTTGTGCTAAAAGCCGTGGGTGGGCTTGTTGCACACAGCCCCGCAGGCCGGGCCAGACTCTCTGAGCCCACGGCTGCTCCAGCCCCTTCTCTACTACTCAAACCCGGGCATCAGCCGCCTGCTGCCTTCCTCACAGACTGGGCCGTCAGCCCGAGGGTAGGACTGTTATTGCCCGGTCCTCAGCGTCTAGAGCAGGCTGGACACCCACATGCAACGTCCCATGCCCCAACACTTCCTATTTACCACCTAGTGAGGTCTGTTCCAGGGGCTCAGAATCTCCTAGAACCAAGCTCTCAGGAAGAATCCATTTTAGTAGAGGAGGCAGGCAACAAACAATGAATATAAAATAAAGTGTATAAGTGCCATGGGCTGCTGCAGTTTTAAATAGAGTGGTAGGGCAGGCTGAATGGGGTTCAAGCTTATTAGTACATGAATGGGGGAGGTTATGGGAGGGTGAGGAGGTGGATGGATGGGTGGATGAGTGGATGGATGGGTGGGTGGATGAGCGGGCAGGTGGGCAGATAGATGGGTAGGGTAGTCAGGTGGGTGGTCATGGGAGGGTGAGGAGGTGGATGGATGGATAGGTGGGTGGATGGGTAGACGGATGGTGACTGATGAGTGGGTGGGTGGGTAGAGGCCTGAACCTCTGCCAGGAGAAGAGAGGCAGACCTCAGGAGGTCCAAGACTGGAGTTGGCCTGGGCCACTCAGCAGGTGGCTGCTCTGGAGGGGTTGAGGACAGAGGGGGCAAACGGGACAGAGGTGGCAGATGTGAGTGCAGAGGACATCCGGGGAGGTCTGGGCCCTGTTTCCGTTCCAGTCCCAGGGGCCGCCAGCCCCCACCAGCCTCCACGTCATTCCCACCATGGTCCTCTCCCCGCCACCTTGTTCCAATCACATTAGCAGAGTGACAGCCAGGCGAGTACTTACGGCGGCTCCATAAATCTCAGCTGCGTTAAAAGGCTGGACTCCGGGCCCACTTCCTCCTGGTCCCGGCCCCCCATCTGTCTCCCCGTCAGTCACGCATGGCGGGAGCAGGGCAGGAGGGGGTCCAGCTTCCTCCCTGCTCCCGATGCTGCCTGAAGGGGAGCACAGGGATCCCACTACACCCCCGAGGCTGGCCAAAGCCGGTACCCTCTGACCTCCCAGAGGGAGCAAACTAGACCACCTATCCACCTAAAACCTTGGGGGCTCCAGTGGTCCCCAGGGCATAAGGCTGTCCCCACCTTTGCCTGCAGTTCATTCGCTCATTCAACAAATATTGATTGAGCACCGACTGCAGGTGGCAGGCCCAGTGCTGGGGGAGGGGTCACAATCTTGCCCTTACATCCTCAGGGGACACAATAAACAATGAACAAAACAAACAAGCATATTTCATGGCCCCTTAGAAGAGGGGCATGGGGAGGCCAGGGTGGCTGGCAGCGGGGAGAGCTGCACTTTCCCCGGTGTCAGGGTGAGCCTACAGGAGAAGGTAGCATTAGGCGTAGGGAGTAAAGAACATAGCCATAAGGCTGGCTGGAGGAAGGGCATTCTAGCAGAAGGAATAGCTGTGCAAAGGCCCTGAGGGAGGAGTGGGGCTGGCCTTTCCAGGCACTGCAGAGAGGCTAGTGCGGCTAGTGCAGAGTGAGTGAGTGAGTGAGTGTGTGTGTGTGTGTAGGGAGAGGGAAGGAGAAGCAAGTCTGGGATGTACTGGGGACCTTGTGGGCCACAGTGAAGACCCTGGAAACGGCCTGACTTGGTTTTAAAAGGTCCACCCTTTTGGTGATCCTTGGCCTTCTGGCACTGAGTGGCTAAAAGCCCAGCTCCTAGCCCATCTCTTGGATTTTGTCCCCCACCCCCTTGCCCGTCGAAAGACTCTGAGCTTCCCCCTCTCGGTCCATGCTGTCCCTCACTGCAGGCTTTCACCTAGGCTGCTATGCTGGTCCCTCTGCCCAGGACACCCTTCCCTGCCTCCTCACCGGGCTCCTCCCACCCATCCCTCGGGTCTCAGTGGAGGTGCCACCTCCTTCCTGACGCCCAGGTCTGGGGAGTCCGACTCGCTGAGCCCCTCCTGAGACCGTGTGACCTCCATCATAACACACACACTCCTATCTGTACCCCCTGGAAGTGTCTGTCCCAGTCCACACACAGCAGGCACTCATTCACTGGCTGATAAACGAACGGACAGAGGGGACAGAGGAGAGCGGAGGCTGTAGGCGGAATACAGCAGGGCTCAAGTCCAGCAGGGCCTCTGAGTCCCTGAAAGGATGGGCTTCGAGGAAGAGGGGTCCTGGACGGCCCATCTGCAGGCCCATAGTCCCTGCGAAGCCCCCTCTCCATCTGGGAGGCCCTCAGGTAGCTGTAACCTCCATGGGATGACTAGAGGAGAGTGGGGAGGGACAGCGCCTCCAGCCACAAACAGCCCCCGTCCACATCCTGGCGGGTCACCAGCTCTTAACGCCCGCTCTTTTATTTATTTCTGACCTTCGCTGGCCCTTTTATTTTTCCCTTTTAAAACCTGGCCTGGGCCCCGCCACTGCTGCCACTGCCGTAAACACGGCCCCCCAGGATTTATCCAACGGCACATTAACCTCTGACCCCTGGCTCACCAATCATCCTGCCTGCTGAGATGTCGGGCAGCCTGGCCAGCTGGGGGCCCAGGGCTGGGGGTGGGCGGGAGCCTGATGCCACCATGTCAGGCAGGGCTGGCCGGGGGAGCAGAGCAGGGGACACAGGCTAACCCCCTCTGGACTTTGCAGCAGCTGACCTCAGCCTGCATCCCGGAGGGGCCCACCCACCTGGCCTCTGACCTCTTGCCGGCCTGGCCCCACCGGGACCCCTGTTCACGGTGGCTGTTGGCATTAGTGTTTCGGGCAAACGTTTGCCAGTTCTGAGCTCATCTCACACTGCAAGGGCTCTGAACTGGGCAGAGAGAGGATGATTTTGCCCTCGCAGATGGGGAAACTGAGGCCAGGGGGAGACAGGGCTTCAGGGGCTGGACTTTTCCATCGCACCTGTGGCCTCCCAGCCCAGGCCCATTTAAACCCATGAGCCCCAACCTTCAACCTAGTTACAAACCAGGAGACCAGAAGGGTATGTGACTGCCTGGGTCACCTTGGGGAGAGAGCCAGGCCTGCTATCCAGGTCTCTGGCTTTTCTAAAGCGACAATGGATGGAGCAAGGTTAAGAGCAGGAGGCAGAGGTGGGAATACACAGGGGGCTGGCAGGATGGTGGGGAGACTTCGGAGAGGGGGACAGGCCAGGGAGGGGGTGGGGCCAGAAGGGCGGGGGTTGGGGAGACAGCCGCAGCTCAATGGTCATACCCAGCCCTCACCCCCCAAAGGCAGGGGCAGCCGCCACCCAATGCTCACTCGCAGCCCCCATCCCTGAGGGTGGGGGGTCAGAAAGCTGCCACTCAATGTCCACGCCCAGCCCTCACCCCATACGGCAGGGGGACAGACCCCA